CTATGACGATAAGTGAAAAGAACATACCATATTAGGCCCAAAAATGTCACCAAAAAAAAAGAACAAATTACCTGGTGCACGATCAAAAGTAAGTTTTTCACCCTAAATACGATCTAACTTTTTAAGTTCCAAACTAAAGTTTTCTTTTCCATTTGAATCTTATTTTCATTTTCTTAATCACCTCTCACGCCATACTTCCCCATCCCAATAGACTCAATTCAATTTCTCTTCTCTCTTCCCTTCTCACTTCACAGAACACACGCACACACCAACACGTCATATATTTACAACCTCCCATCCCTTATCTTGTTCTCTCTTCTTCGTAGATCGACCGATTGAGAATGGCGAGCACCGGAGAGATGTAAAACAACCAAGCTTGGCGGAGATCGATTAGGACCACTGACTCGAATTTTGGGGTCCGCCGAGTACAGCCGCTGACTCGGCTGGGATGGTGGAGCGTGAGTCACCGGCGAGATCTTGACTAGTAGCGACGACGGCGCGACCAAAGATTTTTGTATTACATCTCTGTCTCATCGATAGGCGAATAGACAGGTTTTCATCCCAGATCTATGTCTCGCTGATAGGTGCGCGACCAGGTTTGAGGGTTGGGTTGTCGGACCAAGTTATCGGCGGAGAGAGGCAATTTCGATGGCTCCAATTTTGGTGTTCACCAACGGCGGTGCGAGGGACAAAGGTAGATCTAAGCTATAAAAAAGTTCAATGTTATAATTAGGGTTGCTCATGTTATTGCCACAAAATTTTGGGCGTTAGGGTTGGAAATATTCATTGTGCAAATGAAATTGATTTTGGTTTTGTTTTTTGACTTTAGCGATCCTAGCACTCTAATATGCAACAATAGTTTTCCTTTTCATCTCCAGTGCCAAATCTTACCTTAATATATGAAATTAATTTGTTGTAAACAGAAGTACCTCCCTCCAATATGCACAAAACAAAATAATTAAAATAGAACAACAATTGCTCTTTGATTTTCTTGATATCACACAGGCCAGATGTTTGATGAAATGCGTGTGTGAGTTTGTTTAGTTTTGTTTTCCTTTTGCACATGGAACAACAGTTTTCCTATCCAGTTCATTTATATTTGAAGTTTTTTTTTTTTTTACTGTTGATTATTATTATTATTGTAGACAATAAAGCGGTGGTTCTTTATTTGGATATGATGGGGATGGGGATGGAAAACTTTGAGTATTTCTGATGTTTATCTATCGTACCAGGTTTCTTTTGTTGTTATTTTTTGCATGGTATATTTTTTGTATTTCTTTTGGTAAATATGCAGTATCTCAATTATTCTTTTATTCTCTTTTGGATGTGTGGTGACATAAAGTTTTAGACTTGTTAAACGACTGATGTTACTCTTAGTACTATTTGGTTTATTTTGTGTAACATTGATGACAAACAATTCAATTTTTTGAGTGTTAATTTGATGTTTATCTATGATTTCATTATGTGTTTTGATTTTTTTTTGTTGTCTTATCTACCTTATATTTCAGTTTATTGCTCAAATTTATTACTATTAGCAAGAGATGAGGAGACTGAAGGATGACATTGGGAGTGGTGAGGTAAATGGCGCCGAAGAGGGCAGCTTGGTGATGGGGTATATGGGGCGGCACTCGGAGAATACCCACCACTCGATATTGTCCATGTCGTCGGAAGAGACAGTTACGGGGTCTTGCATGATGTCCAGGAACACGAAGCACGAGGACGTTGATTTCGAACATTGATGGAGATGAATTGAAGGTTATATTCTGCTTATTTGTGAATTTGTTTTTTTGGTTAAGGCGTTGAGGATTTCTACTTGAAGATTTACAGCATCTGCATAGCTGCCTTGGGACATGACTATTGATTTCGAGACTGATTGGAAAAAGAATCGAGTCCGACTTGGGACTTGACCTTTTTTTAGGTTTATTTTTAGGTTTATTGTAGTTTATGTTCACAGATGGTTTGTGTTAGATTCAGAATTTTGGAGAAAATATTTTTCAAATGTTTGATTTAATTATTTTGTGGACGAATTATATGTTTACTTGATGTTAAAGGAGCAGTTGTTTTTTTGGTTAATTATTGTATATTTTGTTTTGAATATTTCTTGTGGTTATTTATATCGATAGTTTTTGTTTTTGTTTTTGTTTTTGTTTTTGTCTTCTTCTCTTTTTCGTGGCTACGTGTGGTTGTTCTGTTATGGTGTGCAGGTAATATGAACTTCAATCACGTGTACTCCTCCCTGCACTACCCATCTTGGAACAATGAGCCGAGCTATTCCGCTGAGTACCACACCCAATCTTATCCATACTCTTCTGAGCAGAGCTGGCACCATTTTCCGGTTGAGCAAACTTATGAGTCCCACGAGTTTAACGAGAAGCTCGACTAGATTCTTTATTTCATAGAGTCCAAATTAGCTCGAGAAGAAGAGGCCGTCTACAATGCCAAACTTGATCTTATCCTAGATCGATTGATGGCCCAAGCAAACGAGAGGAGAAGATTGAGCTCAGATGTGCCCGTTTGAGCGAGCAAGTGGAGAACTAGCAAGGTCCATCGACTCTATCGAGCCCCA